TAATTAAAGTAAAATAAATATTCTATTAGTGTTGGTGCGTGGTTGATCTGGAATACTCATACATCGTAAATTGGCTTCTTCCTCCTGGAGCCTAGTTAGGATGTTGGCTTTTTTTATTTATTAGTTCTGAGAAGTTTTACCTGCGGCTGCGACGACGGTTTTGTAGAATTTAGGAATTTTAATTTTGAGCCATATTTACTACTTTTTCAGTAATGTTTATATTTTAAAAGCAAGTGACGGAGAGAGAGAGAGAGAGAGAGAGAGAGAGAGAGAGAGAGAGAGAGAGAGAGAGAGAGAGAGAGAGAGAGAGAGAGAGAGAGAGAGAGAGAGAGAGAGAGAGAGAGAGAGAGAGAGAGAGAGAGAGAGAGAGAGAGAGAGAGAGAGAGGAGAGAGAGAGAGAGAGAGAGAGAGAGAGAGAGAGAGAGAGAGAGAGAGAGAGAGAGAGAGAGAGAGAGAGAGAGAGAGAGAGAGAGAGAGAGAGAGAGAGAGAGAGAGAGAGAGAGAGAGAGAGAGAGAGAGAGAGAGAGAGAGAGAGAGAGAGAGAGAGAGAGAGAGAGAGAGAGAGAGAGAGAGAGAGGGAGAGAGAGAGAGGAGAGAGAGAGAGAGAGAGAGAGAGAGAGAGAGAGAGAGAGAGAGAGAGAGAGAGAGAGAGAGAGAGAGAGAGAGAGAGAGAGAGAGAGAGAGAGAGAGAGAGAGAGAGAGAGAGAGAGAGAGAGGGTATGTCTCTCTTACTCCAATACCTACCCTGGCAATATTATTCCATTATCCCATATTAGGTAAACTTGACCCGATCCCCAATCTGACTATTTTCTCTGTGTAGCAGAGAGAGTGCTAAATCTTTCTCAAGCCGCTTGGGGAGCCATTTTCAATGCTTCCGCCGGATTTAAGTTTCTTGCGCCTCGGAAGTATGCCGTTTCTCATTTTTCTGATAGAACAGGATTGCAGTTGAAAGATCGAAAATCATCATTCTTTTTGGTAGAGCCATTATTGAAACGATTAAGAGATATTCTATTATTAGAGTTAATGCACCGGCTCTTTGAGTCAGATATCGCTGCTATATAATGTTTTATCTCCCTAAATTCGCTGTAAAATGCCCCAAATAAGGAACTTTATGCCTTATAATGGTAACTATAAATGGGAGAATCGAATTTAAAACATTACATTACGCTTCTTTCTTTGTTAAATTTTATAACATATAAGTCCGTACCCGGAAAGCAGGAATGGTCACAATGCACAGAAAGTGAATGGTCAAATAATGATCGAATCAAAACTTTTCGATATACTTTAACTATTATAAATAAGCATACTGTCGTGAATAGGTAATAGACAATCGATTTCTACTAAGTACAATTATAGTGCGATAGAGTGGTGATTGTTAATGATGACGACAAAATGCCATTGTCTCACTCGATGGAAGATGCTGGGGTTTCTGTTTTGAAAGACTAATCCAGTTCCGTGTAAATACAGTCAATAACATGATTTGTTGGTCGGTCACCCAATCTAATTTTATATGATACAACTACAGATTTAGACTTTTAGCGGATACAGATTTAAGACAAAGGGCTTTGGTTAGATGTTCTAAACTGATCAATTGCAAACCAGTTTGCCGAAGTGGTATATAATATTGTTTTGTCTTATAGTTATAGTTTACATGAAGGGAGATAACGTGATTATGGCCTGCATAGTGGCCGACTCTGACCACTTATATGGCCTTCATGCCCGGCTGCCAGCCTTCATAAGATAATATGGCCTACCAGGTCTACAAATATATTCATTCTCAAACGAGATTAAATTCTTATACACATCAATGTAGCTTGCTACGGGATCTCGTCGATACGAATCAATCAACAATATGTGAATCACTTCGTGGCTTCAAACCGATTGAATTCCTCTCAGATAGTGATAACCTCTAACCACAGAGATATTATAGGTTGATGTAATTATAATCGATAGTGTTATTGGGCTCAATATTGCATCACACATGAACCTATAAATACTTAAAGGGCATTGGAAAATTTGCGGTTCAATTAAGCTTGAACTTGTAACCTAAACCCCAATTTAGATAAAGATTGGTAACCATTCTTAAGTATAAGCTCACTTACATATGGTCCTCATTCTAAGGAATTATTAAAATAAATTAAACATAATACACTAATATATTACACATAATATATCACTATATAAGATACACTAAAGTGGTTCGTTACCGGACAGTTGGCGAGATACAAGACACCTGTCCAGGACGCAGCCAGGATAGAAAGAATGATATTGGATACGTTGAGATGTAATAAGTCTAGCTAAATTCCGAGGGGAACGTGTAGAGAGCAGCTAGTACAGCTATAATACGGTACACGTTTAAGATTATGATTCCACGGTATTATATAGTGCATTCTCTCTTCTTAGACTGTAGTTACTTTCGTGAGTTTGTACTTTAATTTTGTCACTTTCACGTCAGCAAACCGGCCACAGCTTCTTTTTCTTGTGAGAACACTAATTCAGTTCCTCGGGAAGTGTTGTACTAATAGAGCGAATTAACGTGAAGCTTGTAATTTAATGTAAGTTATATAAATGTATATGTTTAGAAGGAATGGATATTGTACAGTCAATACAAGGTATACCGCCACATTATCAATTAATAATCAAGTAACTGAATGATTCCTGGTTTCAAATTTCGTATCGTCATTTCCTAGCCAGTTTGATTCCTTTGCTCTTTAATTAGCGCTCATTTTTCATTATATTAAGAGCGCGTCTCGCTCGATCTTTTGATCAACTACTATATAGCACTTTTATTTAAGTGAGAGTAACTCTCAATAATTCAGTCTGATAGAGCAAGCTCTCCTGAAGGCAATCACCAGCTGTAACCTTTAACTTTAAAACCTCTGATTTTGTGTGGTCGCCACAACGTCACACAGATCTGTTAGCGGGTATATCTGATCACCTAAATTTTCATCACAACTAATATAATATGCAGAAAGGTTTATTTCAGTCTTTGCCGTCTCTTCTGTTCCAGTTCATTTCCTATATTGGGAGGAAGGTTTTAAATCATAGTTGGTAAATGCGATAAGATACTCAGTGTAGTTTCTGCAACGTCACGGTGTCATTTGATTAGCTGCTCTACAGTCTACATGCTCATACGGTTCAAGAAACTTTGACTAGTAGTGATTTCCCTTTTAGTGTGCAGTCACCAAGATGTTTTGATACTTTGGAGGGTAAATGTAGATTGTTTTTTGATCTGCGAATGGTTTTCGGTTATGATCGGCTAGACGCCCACTAAAAATTAAGCAACAGCAATCCTGTTGAAGACTACGTTTCTTTTTGTCCTACTTGTGTCTCAATTTAGCAGTACCTATCTGTTGAATAATTCAATTTCAATCTAACATACTTGCACAATTAACCCTTTTATTGGGACACCACTGTAACTAAAAGGAATGTCGGCCGCACCGGCAAACGCTGCCTATTTGAGCACATTTTCGGGCCCTACGGGCAACAGTGCGATTGACGTCATTAGGGATCACTTAAGGTGCACTTTTGGGACATTAGGTGTTCAAAGCTGGGAAATGTTTGGTACGACCACTGTTTGTTATTGAACTTTGTGAATTAATTAAAAGCTTTTTTTTGATAAAATCTGAAAGATTGAATGCGTTCAATCTGAATCATGCCAAAGGAGGTATCCCTTATAAAAATAATGTTGAAAATGGTAAGCACAGAACTTGTGACTACTGCATTTTCGTCATCGTGTAAGATCGGCAAGAATGTCCCTCAGATCCAAAGCTCTACTACAACTGAACAAATTACTTGAATCATCCATTCAGCATATTGATCAACATTGATCACTTCCTAATCCAGAATTGACGCAACTAAATGGCCCGGCAACACGCAGCATGACCTTCTAATCAAACACAACTTTACATGCAGCACACTGAGTAATATCTAAAACTACTATCCTACTTACACGACAATAAATCTCTCTCCGGACCCCCACTTGATACGCTGACCGTATATATTATACACTATAAATATATACTATATTATATATGTTTGACGATATATTATAGTGTACCTCTATATAGAGTGTACGAGAGTTAATTTCATACGGTCTAGATTTGGCGGCGTTTCAGTTATTCAGTTGTATCTTGACTATACAGTGTTATCAGTATCTCCAGCTATACCTAATGCTACATAGTGTTATCTTCAGCTACCTTGCTACACAGCGTTATCATCAGCTACCTTGCTACACAGCGTTATCATCAGCTACCTTGCTTATACATGATAAAGGAGGTGTTAGTAACACTATGCTACACCAGTATCACGGGAATTTCTATACCAGTGCCATTTTAGTCATGGTCGGATCATAAAGTCCCGTCATAGCAGAGGTAGCAGAGACAATTATTCTGCCTGCCTATAATTGACAACGTCAAAACCGCCGATCCCAAATGGCAATCACCACGATTTGTTTCGTTATTATTTTCTTTCTGTGCCAACTTTCTTTTATAGTTGTTTTTAAAGGAGTTTTAGCGTATTTTCTGTTATTATCTGTCTAGTCATGAAACCAGTTATCATCAATCTCTATACAGGATCCATAACTTTTCTAAAGTTATTATCTATCAAGAGCAGCTCAGTGTTCTACGGAAACGGTTCATGTTGTCTCTCGTTTCGCACTTAATACTCTTTTAAAATTCTACAAACCAATGGTATAATTGACTCAGTGATGACTGATGATGGTGTGGACTAAAACATACATCTTGCCGGCAACTGGGCTTTCTGAAGCGTGATTACTTTTGGTTAACAATTTTTTGTTATGCCCTACACTCAGTGGTACTTTGAATCAATTGATAAAATCCGACTAATTGGGAAATTAGGTGATCGTATACTTATAGAGGCTGAATCTTGGACCTTGGTTGATTCGTGGCTAAACAGTATCTCCCAATTTCCCGAAAATTCTTGAACTTTAACATAATGAATCAGCTCATGGGTGTGAATAATTTGTGCACTCCATCGACTACAAATTATTTGTCCAAATATATTTACTGAACATTGATACAAAAATAATTTTGACCATTAACGATCCCAAAAAGGTAGTCTTTTGGTAGCCGATCGTAAAATCTAAAACCCAACTTCCGGGATATTCCTGCAGAAGCCCATCAGTTAAACAACAGATAAATTCAATCGTCATCAAAGCGCATCGTGGCGATAAGTATTAATGGACCCAGAAAATAATGAACATAACTTGATTTCACCACACAATGACATGTTGACCAATAACAATTTAGCTTCAGAGATCCTCCACCAATGGGACCCTCCGCTCTAAAAGCAATCATGCGTCGCAAACACATTCTCGCCTTGTGCCTCTAGTTCGTAGTAACATATTATAATGTGGTATCATAAGTGCAATTGTTTTGTAAAGGGATTCTACATGTTTTTTGGGTATCGTATATCTAAATCTTGCGCCGTGTGTTTATAAGAGTATTGTGTCTTCGTTATGTTACTTATTTACTTATATTACTTATCTATAATGCTTGAGTTTCTCAGTTTTCAGAGTCACCATAGAGTATATTTTATCGGCTATTTTTTATCTTAATAACACTTGAAATGCATCAATTTTATAATAGGTCTGAACCATCTCTAGGATACCGTGTGAAAATTTGCTGTTTAACCTTCAATTTCTGTCTTTCTATAATCTATATCGGCCTTTAATTTCTGCCTGTTTTAGTTTACTTCCGCTTCTTAATCTTCCAGTGCTTGTTGGACTGTATTTATGCTTTTATTTTTGTATATAACCGGCTACGAAAATTATTTAACTCTATCTGCATTTTGGAGAGCTTTCACAAACGACAAGACCCAGAGTTTGTGTTATAAGTTATTGCACCACCACCTTAATGTTGAGTAACAAATATCTCCTTTATCTAAAATTTAGAAACCTTAAAGTTCAGGATTCATAAGAAAATATAAATTTACACATTCTTAACCAGTCAGCTAGCAAGTTTGAGGACATGTCATGCTGGTAAACGTATGGCATAAAAAACCAAATAAGAACAGCTAGTATAACAAGTAAGTATGACAAGTAACTAATTAGACCCCTCCTTAATCAAAATTAGACCTATCCTTTGTCAAAATTTCAATTGCTTGGCAAAAAGGCCATTGTGGCGACTGTAAAATCTAATCGGTCATTAATTACCGCTAATTTGTAAAGTACAAAGTACATCTGGAATCATAACATACTTTATTTGTCAGCATGGCCCCAACATTTGGTGAACCTGCTGTTTGATGTTTAGCTGAGTCTTGTAGAGGTTCGATTCCGCTCATCTAGTTTTAAATTTTGTTAACCGGCACGGTCTATAACCGTCTATTCATTCGTTACGGTTAATTCCTCATCTAATTTATCTTTCCAGCCTTTAATACCGTTTAGAATCTTGAGGAAGCAAGAGAGCCCGGTAAATATAAATGTTCGTTAAATAGAGGTTGGAGGGTTATATTACTATTAGTTGGTAAAAATAACGCGTGAAACCAGTTAGTAAGTATTTTGTAATATTAAGTAAGTATTTTGTAATATTAAGTAAGTATTTTGTAATTTGAAGTAAGTATTTTGTAATTTTAATTCAATGACCCGGTAAATGGTACCGGGAATGATACAAACTATTCTAATTCTCTTCTGATAGGTTCAGTAGTGCCTAGTGCCGTTGGTGATGTTGCTGAAGGTTAACGGTGACATTGATTCCAAGCTAATTTTATCAGTTCTGACGACATAATCAAACTGAAAGGAATTGTATTGTCATCCATCGGCGCCAGCGTCGCAAATCGAGTGTTGGGTATTAATAAATTCCAATCTTTAGAACAGCTTAGTGACGTCATATGTACTGGACGGAGTTCATTCGTTTTAAGAACGATAAATTCCTCGAGACGATTTTGGCAATAGTGCATGTTTTGACCCTCCGGAGCCTTTAAGTCTTACATCTATTTAGGGCTTATTTACCGGGACCGGATGGTTATGTAGGAGCCTAGTAACATCCGAATTAAATACTTGCATGCAAGTAGTGGTTACATTGTGGCACAACCTGCGAGGAGCAACAGCTTGACGGGACGGTACACTGACCTAGACTTTAATTGACGCCATCTCAGTCGGTACTGCTTGCTTTCTATAGCTGTTGTTGCGACCTTTAAAGACACGTAGCCTCGTATTCTGAAATACACGGTATTTGCAACCTCGTAATATTGCTTGTGCAGTTCAGTCCAGTCCCTGTGCAATTGACAAGGCAAAATACCTCTCATAGCTCAAGAAGACATTGTAGTACAAAACACATTTCGTTCGGTATACACTTAATTATTCCAACTGTAACGTGTATCTAAATTCTAATGAGGCATTTGCAATAAGTGTTGAAATTCTAATCTAAGTAGTCTCCCATAAGTTCTGCTAGTACTCTGATACAAATTCAATTCGCTAAACGTCATTTATACATGCCTTTTCAGGTTTCTTCATTCGATTCCTTTCGACTAACATTAGTTTTTATTTTGTGATGTTATAATAATTTTATGGTGCTATTAATTAAATAATATCACATGATCATAAACATTAGTAAAAATTCAACATATTTTGTAACCTTATAATTGTATAGCGTGGCATTTATTAATACTTATTTGTCGACTAAGACCGTTGGTTTCCAAGCCTTTGATAGCGGTTTCTTAGACCGTCCCGGATGATGTCACAGTCTCATAATAACACTATAAAATAGAAGGGGTTAGGGTAGTTAACAGACAGACTACAATAGGTTGAGGTACTGCACTACTGCAGACTGGTGCATCACTCTACTTAAATACTGCAGAATATACCGTAACCTTGTCTACCGAGGAAACAGCAGAGTGGTTTAGCATTCACTCGTCCTTCAGAGCTAACGTGTAAGTGCAGAGTGTTTAATCTCGTCTATACGTGTAAGTGCAGAGTGTTTCATCTCGTCTATACGTGTACGTGCAGAGTGTTTCATCTCGTCTATACGTGTAATTGCAGAGTGTTTAATCTCGTCTATACGTGTAAGTGCAGAGTGTTTCATCTCGTCTATACGTGTAAGTGCAGAGTGTTTCATCTCGTCTATACGTGTAAGTGCAGAGTGTTTCATCTCGTCTATACGTGTAAGTGCAGAGTGTTTCATCTCGTCTATACGTGTACGTGCAGAGTGTTTCATCTCGTCTATACGTGTAAGTGCAGAGTGTTTCATCTCATCTATACGTATAAAGTGCAGAGTGTTTCATCTCGTCTATACGTGTAAGTGCAGAGTGTTTCATCTCGTCTATACGTGTAAGTGCAGAGTGTTTCATCTCGTCTATACGTGTAAGTGCAGAGTGTTTCATCTCGTCTATACGTGTACGTGCAGAGTGTTTCATCTCGTCTATACGTGTACGTGCAGAGTGTTTCATCTCGTCTATACGTGTAAGTGCAGAGTGTTCCATCTCGTCTATACGTGTAAGTGCAGAGTGTTCCATCTCGTCTATACGTGTAAGTGCAGAGTGTTTCATCTCGTCTATACGTGTAAGTGCAGAGTGTTTCATCTCGTCTATACGTGTAAGTGCAGAGTGTTTCATCTCGTCTATACGTGTAAGTGCAGAGTGTTTCATCTCGTCTATACGTGTAAGTGCAGAGTGTTTCGTCTCATCTATACGTATAAAGTGCAGAGTGTTTCATCTCGTCTATACGTGTAAGTGCAGAGTGTTTCATCTCGTCTATACGTGTAAGTGCAGAGTGTTTCATCTCGTCTATACGTGTAAGTGCAGAGTGTTTCATCTCGTCTATACGTGTACGTGCAGAGTGTTTCATCTCGTCTATACGTGTACGTGCAGAGTGTTTCATCTCGTCTATACGTGTAAGTGCAGAGTGTTTCATCTCGTCTATACGTGTAAGTGCAGAGTGTTTCATCTCGTCTATACGTGTAATTGCAGAGTGTTTCATCTCGTCTATACGTGTACGTGCAGAGTGTTTCATCTCGTCTATACGTGTAAGTGCAGAGTGTTTCATCTCGTCTATACGTGTAAGTGCAGAGTGTTTCATCTCGTCTATACGTGTAAGTGCAGAGTGTTTCATCTCGTTTATACGTGTAAGTGCAGAGTGTTTCATCTCGTCTATACGTATAAGTGCAGAGTGTTTCATCTCGTCTATACGCGTAAGTGCAGAGTGTTTCATCTCGTCTATACGTGTAAGTGCAGAATGTTTCATCTCGTCTATACGTGTAAGTGCAGAGTGTTCCATCTCGTCTATACGTGTAAGTGCAGAGTGTTTCATCTCGTCTATACGTGTAAGTGCAGAGTGTTTCATCTCGTCTATACGTGTAAGTGCAGAGTGTTTCATCTCGTCTATACGTGTAAGTACAGAGTGTTTCATCTCGTCTATACGTGTAAGTGCAGAGTGTTCCATCTCGTCTATACGTGTAAGTGCAGAGTGTTTCATCTTGTCTATACGTGTAAGTGCAGAGTGTTTCATCTCGTTTATACGTGCAAGTGCAGAGTGTTTCATCTCGTCTATACGTGTACGTGCAGAGTGTTTCATCTCGTCTATACGTGTAAGTGCAGAGTGTTTCATCTCGTCTATACGTGTAAGTGCAGAGTGTTTCATCTCGTCTATACGTGTAAGTGCAGAGTGTTTCATCTCGTCTATACGTGTAAGTGCAGAGTGTTTCATCTCGTCTATACGTATAAGTGCAGAGTGTTTCATCTCGTCTATACGCGTAAGTGCAGAGTGTTTCATCTCGTCTATACGTGTAAGTGCAGAGTGTTTCATCTCGTCTATACGTGTAAGTGCAGAGTGTTCCATCTCGTCTATACGTGTAAGTGCAGAGTGTTTCATCTCGTCTATACGTGTAAGTACAGAGTGTTTCATCTCGTCTATACGTGTAAGTGCAGAGTGTTCCATCTCGTCTATACGTGTAAGTGCAGAGTGTTTCATCTTGTCTATACGTGTAAGTGCAGAGTGTTTCATCTCGTTTATACGTGCAAGTGCAGAGTGTTTCATCTCGTCTATACGTGTAAGTGCAGAGTGTTTCATCTCGTCTATACGTGTAAGTGCAGAGTGTTCCATCTCGTCTATACGTTGACGTGCAGAGTGTTTCATCTCATCTATACGTGTAAGTGCAGAGTGTTTCATCTCGTCTATACGTGTAAGTGCAGAGTGTTTCAGCTTGTCTATACGTGTAAGTGCAGAGTGTTTCATCTCATCTATACATGTAAGTGCAGAGTGTTTCATCTCGTCTATACGTGTAAGTGCAGAGTGTTTCATTTTGTCTATACGTGTAAGTGCAGAGTGTTTCATCTCGTCTATACGTGTACGTGCAGAGTTTTTCATCTCGTCTATACGTATAAAGTGCAGAGTGTTTCATCTCGTCTATACGTGTACGTGCAGAGTGTTTCATCTCGTCTATACGTGTAAGTGCAGAGTGTTTCATCTCGTCTATACGTGTACGTGCAGAGTGTTTCATCTCGTCTATACGTGTAAGTGCAGAGTGTTTCATCTCGTCTATACGGCTGTTGTACTGTGGCAGCGCTTTGTTCTGGACTTTTAATTTAAGTTTTAAGTATTCGTAATCTGGTTGTTCAACGTGTTGTTTGCTTCTTCAGTAATGACAAGAGAAAACAATTAACATAAAATTCTGACTAGCCTGTCCGAGATCAATAAGTTTCCTACCCTGATAACTGTTTTATATAGTGCTTCATGCATACTTCTGTCTTCTTGACTCCAAGTTCTTTTTAACAACAGTCAAAGACCGGAATTGATGCTTTGATGAGATTTAGGAGGCCTCATAAATAACAAGCTGCAGAAAATGGATCTTCTTTGAAGTTAGTGGTCGAGTGTTCAAGTTGGCGCCGGTACTGTGTTCATCTCGGAACAGTAAACTTATAGATAATTAAGTTAATTATTTCGATGCCATTGGAAGTTATCATCAGATTCTTCAGCTTAGTAGATCAGATATCAAGCCCTGATTCATTCATGGCTGGATGAACCATCCTCTCTAAGGATATAACATAACTCAGAGTGAACAGCCTGTAAGAGACATACCATTCTTCGTACCGTAGTAGAATTAGACGGTGGGTCTATTATAGGGTAATTTTCGCCAAAAGTAGGCCCTATAACATTCCTTTCGCGAAATCTAAAAACATCTACACTTGTCAACATCACGTGGCATGTGTCTCCATTACTTCAAAAACTTCAAAAACTCTGGACTACAGCATTCATTATGTAAATCATTAGTGTCAGATTTTCAGAAATTCCGAGATATGCAGCTCAAGAATCCCGTCAAACCTGCCAAGTGCTGCTCAACAGTTAAAAATGGGAGCTCTGTGTATAATTCCAAATCAACGTATATCGATTAAGACTGTGTACTCCGCTACGTTTATTACCAGATACAATTCGATAAGCCATGTTCATCTGTTCCGCATGTATTATGTTTTGTTAGTCGAAAAGGCGTTATTTTGTGATTGGGTAAACTTGTGGCAGTCTTCTTCTCGATAGTTTTGCTAACTTTAAAAATGCCAGACTGTTAAGATTTACAAATATGCAGTATAGCGCGCATTTTGTACCACCTGTGAACCGTCGGGTTTGCGGGAAGCATTCCATACCAGTTTGTTTAGCTTGTACAATGTATGGTATGAAGTTATGTCACCAGTGATCACGGAGCTACAGGATAACGTTGCTGATTGACCTAGTTCTTGAAGAGAGTCAGATCAATTTAGATGTTCGGATATAGTTGCCAAGTGGTCCCCATAGAGGTTCCCCGTTTATGAGTAGTAAAATATTTTCTACCAACATCTACAAGAACCCGTTTCACGCACAATCATAATCAACCTCTAGTAGGTACTAGAAACTGAGAGTAGGTACTAGAAACTGAGAGTTAGCCAATAGCCCTATGCCTTTTAATTTTAGTAGAACAGTTCTTCAGTTTTTCAGAGGCACTTAACACGGTCTCCTTTCCCAACTGTATAGACGATGTAATAGGCTCATATTGGTTAATCTACTTAATAATAGCGACAATTCCGTGTGTGGGTGCGTGTGTAATGTACAAACCAATCAAGAAAATGGTAAGAGTAACTGTAAGGGACCGTTTTTTTCGGTAAAGTGCCAACATTTTTAGAAATGTTTGAGTGTGTTCTCTTCATCCAGACTGATAATGTTTCATAACTTAGCTTAATGTATGTTTTTCGGTCACTTGAAATTTCTCTTTATTGCTAGATGATTTGTTTGCAGGCTTAAATGCGGGTTTTGACTGAGCAGTGAGCGGGTTAATACTTTTCACCTTTTTAACTGCGACAGTGAAACACTAATACTAATATAATCTTATAACATATGCGTAGCACTCCCCTATGGTAAAATATAGTAAACATTGGTTATGCCACAGTTTGGGTCAGAGTGATGGTGAAGGAATTCTCTACAGTGAGGACTGAGGGTGGAGGTTTACACACACACACACACACACACACACACACACACACACACACACACACACACACACACACACACACACACACACACACACACACACACACACACACACACACACACACACACACACACACACACACACACACACACACACACACACACACACACACACACACACACACACACACACACACACACACACACACACACACACACACACACACACACACACACACACACACACACACACACACACACACACACACACACACACACACACACACACACACACACACACACACACACACACACACACACACACACACACACACACACACACACACACATCATCGTCACCTTGAAGTGGATGTTTACAAAATTAACAGTCTAAATAATGTGGTGGGCGACACCTTTAAACCAACACGTAAGAGCATTACGTTACAGCTTCTAGATATTTTACAGTAGGGCTCCAGGACAAACATATGAAAAGCTCCCTAAAGATATTCGGAATAACATAACGAGATGGTTATAGTTTCGCAATTACCAAGACTTGATACTATCGTGTATACTGTGTATACAGGGAGGAGATACGTTGTTAGTAATTAGTAACCGGTATTATGCTGCATCATGATCGAGTGTCGTGGTACTGGAGACGGGTGGCTCGAGGTGACAATTTGAGAAGATTGTTAATGTAGATGATGGTAAGTATGCTTATATGGTCACGTGTGCTGGATTCTGTGTTGTGTTGTTTAGAAGAGGTCTAATATTTTGCTAAATTTTGATTTTCGACGTTGTGTGCTTCACAGTCACAGTCACAGTCACAGTCACAGTCACAGTCACAGTCACAGTCACAGTCACAGTCACAGTCACAGTCACAGTCACAGTCACAGTCACAGTCACAGTCACAGTCACAGTCACAGTCACAGTCACAGTCACAGTCACAGTCACAGTCACAGTCACAGTCACAGTCACAGTCACAGTCACAGTCACAGTCACAGTCACAGTCACAGTCACAGTCACAGTCACAGTCACAGTCACAGTCACAGTCACAGTCACAGTCACAGTCACAGTCACAGTCACAGTCACAGTCACAGTCACAGTCACAGTCACAGTCACAGTCACAGTCACAGTCACAGTCACAGTCACAGTCACAGTCACAGTCACAGTCACAGTCACAGTCACAGTCACAGTCACAGTCACAGTCACAGTCACAGTCACAGTCACAGTCACAGTCACAGTCACAGTCACAGTCACAGTCACAGTCACAGTCACAGTCACAGTCACAGTCACAGTCACAGTCACAGTCACAGTCACAGTCACAGTCACAGTCACAGTCACAGTCACAGTCACAGTCACAGTCACAGTCACAGTCACAGTCACAGTCACAGTCACAGTCACAGTCACAGTCACAGTCACAGTCACAGTCACAGTCACAGTCACAGTCACAGTCACAGTCACAGTCACAGTCACAGTCACAGTCACAGTCACAGTCACAGTCACAGTCACAGTCACAGTCACAGTCACAGTCACAGTCACAGTCACAGTCACAGTCACAGTCACAGTCACAGTCACAGTCACAGTCACAGTCACAGTCACAGTCACAGTCACAGTCACAGTCACAGTCACAGTCACAGTCACAGTCACAGTCACAGTCACAGTCACAGTCACAGTCACAGTCACAGTCACAGTCACAGTCACAGTCACAGTCACAGTCACAGTCACAGTCACAGTCACAGTCACAGTCACAGTCACAGTCACAGTCACAGTCACAGTCACAGTCACAGTCACAGTCACAGTCACAGTCACAGTCACAGTCACAGTCACAGTCACAGTCACAGTCACAGTCACAGTCACAGTCACAGTCACAGTCACAGTCACAGTCACAGTCACAGTCACAGTCACAGTCACAGTCACAGTCACAGTCACAGTCACAGTCACAGTCACAGTCACAGTCACAGTCACAGTCACAGTCACAGTCACAGTCACAGTCACAGTCACAGTCACAGTCACAGTCACAGTCACAGTCACAGTCACAGTCACAGTCACAGTCACATGCCTACACCTTCTCGAAGTTGCGCATAAGAGGAATAATTAAGAACGATCCTTTAAATTTAATGCAGCTCGCCATTAAATGTGTTAAGCTCGCAGCTGTGCAAAGGCCAAAGTGGCTTGTTCTTTATTTCCATTTCACGATATTTTATAATATGATAGAGTCTCGAATATAATGTGATAGACGCCCATTGTCCACGTTGTTATGCTCCGCCATAATGCACATCACGACCGATTGCATCATCTTACTTCTTTTTCCTACTACGTAGAATCGTAGGAAAGAGATGATTTTTAACAGAATGGCGATACTTTTATGTCGGGTCATTCTTTCAAAGAATGATCCGACATCAAAGTTTCGCCATTCTGTTAAAAAACATAACATGATTATTCAGAATTGTTTGATACATAAAGATAAGGTTTACAATTTAAATTTTATTGGATAACAGTTAGAACATTAAAGGATAAATAAATTTCCAATGTCAGTCCCATGAATTGTGACGATAAAATAGCCCGACCTATTTGCACAAACATGCTGCTTCAAGTTTGGCACAGGTATTTCAAAGTATCTACTAGCTAACATTCATGAAGAAAACATCGGCAAACATCGGACCTTCTAACCTTCTAGCTGAGATCATAACCCTGACTGTAACCCTGACTGTAACGGTCAGACGTTTTCAGACTCGTCATGAGTAGTCAAAATCACTTACATGGGTTTCCCCATCACGATCAAACCCATGTATTTGAAAGTAAACGTCTATAGTCTATACAGATTCATCAAGGTACACAGTTATACTGGTTTTGAAATCTACTTATAATAAACTAGTTTGTATTACAAATATGTGTCAGTGACCGTATCCATGCGCAACTTCCGGCCGTTTGGTATCTTTTTTTCATATTGGGTTTGCTGTGAGTTGCAGTAGTTAGCACTACTTTTAATGAAAATGTCGTTTCTTCCAGTGTTCCCTTTTAATTGATTCCTTAAACCCTCTAAAGTCTCGACAGTCGACACTTTACGTTAAAGATTAATTAGGCGGCCTTTTACAGATTTAATGGATGTTTAAAGTAAGATAGACATTAACTTTAATTCTACCCTGTTGTGGTAATGCGACCTATAATACCACACAAATATTAATTTTACCCGTATTCTAATACACTTAACGGCGGTAACACTTGCCCTGAATCCTGATTGTGGTTGAATTTGAGGGCGTAACCCAAGAATTTTAACATTATCGGACCACCAACCACTTTAGGTCTATTCATAAAATTATGTAGCGAAATTAAAGTGTACAAAGTGCTGAATAGTGAATGTTTTATAATAGCCATTAAGTAACGCTCACACCCACAAGGCAATGTTGTGAACAAGGGGACACCGGAACTACTCACCCAGGCAACAAGAAAACAGACTTTGCAATGACAAACGAGTTCAGACGATAAAATAGATATATCACATTGAAGGTGGGTTTTATTATATGTTTTTAGATAAATCAATAAATGATGAATTGAGAATTCAGCTGGGAGAGGTTGTCAATATGCAATAGTGCCAGGCACCACCCCAAAGAAATTTAGTTGGGCACAACTAGCTTATGGATAGTTGCAAAATAACTGCAGCTAGTATATTCATATATTATGAGCTCAGTAATAAACATGAGATCAGTGATCCTAAAATGCTTAATTTTAGTCTGTAATACCTTCCAGTCAAAAGTTTAAAAAGTTAGGCAAACATACCAACAATTTCCAATTTTTTTTCAAAAAATCATAATGTCTCGATCCGTAACTGTCAAAACATTTTGAAATCCTGATTCGCCTGCCATAATGAGGCCATGATCTGACGGTCATTTTACACCCCCTAGTGTACAGCCCCTGAGTGCCTACCTAACGGTTAAAACAAATTTTTCAAGTTGTTATTAGGGCGCCTGGAGAAAATATGCTTTACCTAGTTGTGCCCATCAGATCCACCTTTACAAGTATTTGAGATGGTGCCTAGCATGACTATGGACAACACCATAACACATTCCTGCACAGAAATGCTTGTGGCAAATCAGTTTCCAGAAATGTTCATAATGCTCTAACTATCACGTAAAATTCTTTACCTTATTTGTCGTAATTTTACAAATGGGCTTACAACTTAACAGTTAAAAGCTGATAACCAATGTTTGTGAAGCTACTTTTAAAGACAGAAACAAAATCGCAAGATCCATAAAGTTTAAAAATAATTGTTTCCATAATTTTTAAAAGTTGGAAACTTTTTTCATTGAAAATAAGCAAAAATCTTAAAACTGTCCTGTTATTAATAGCGTAAATTTATTGAAAGCTCACCGAAAACCACACCTCACTGAAAACCTACCTTCTCAGGAATGACGGGCGCAATGGAAAAGTTCTGCAGGTGTCTAATGTCAGCGGAGGAGCGAGCGCAGAAAGATAATAGCGCAGCTATCGACAACGAGCTTCGGAAACACAAAGCAGAGATGGAAAAGGAACTAAAACTGCTGCTATTGGGTTAGTCCTTATAGTGAGCGGGACAGCCGTACGGAATATTACACCTTTTAGTGGCAGCAATTTATTGCGACAAGTCACATAAAGTTCTGTCTTATAAAGTGCTGTCACTATGTTAGTAGGGGAGCCTGTTAATGACCGGATGGATCCCTTGATTGAAAATTTGGCTTTACGTCGAAGTTGCACAATGCACGGTGATCGGGTGATATAATCATTTCTGCAAATTCCAGTCTGATTTGACAGATGGGAAGCTAAATTACAAGGTATATCTGCAAACAGTGACTTCATTGACCTTTGGTGAAAAACTATAGTTTTTGTGGTTCATTTTCATAGTTGAGATGTGTGTAGCAGCATCTAGTGATTTGAAGAAAATTTGAACAATTTTGTCCGGTACCTTTCGTTTGGGCACGTTATCCATCAATACCAATAAGGAACATCAATTGGAACGATCTTCTACGTCCGTGAAGAAGAAGTTAGACAAGTAATCGTGTCTTAAACTTTTAAATTATCTTTCCTTCTGGTTTCGATTGAGAAATAATTTGTGTAAATAGAAAATACCCATTGCCCGGAGATTTCCTTCCGCATAAAATTATAACAAAAATCCACAAATAAACTACCCATATTAAAAACTGCCACAAAAATGGAAGGTTCTATCTAAACTTTAAACTGATAAAAATAAACTCACGCTCTAACAACACAATAGGGACGGGTGAAAGCGGGAAGAGCACGTTTATAAAACAAATGAAGATCATCCACGGGCAAGGTTTCAACCAGGAAGACCAGATAATGTACCGGAGGATTATCAAGAAGAATATCGTGTCGTCCATGCAAAACATGGTCAGCGCAATGGACCTCCTCTTCATCAGATACGAACATGAGGTAATTGACATATATCTAAGGACAGTTCACTTTTCAATACTTGATGCCAGTATTGTTCTGTAGGACAGAGGCTTAGCGTCTTTTTCAAAGATCTTTGTATGAAAATAGCCCAATAATTTTTCGATTGAAACATGAAATCTTTCCTTTAAATTGCTGATGTTATTTTATTATCTGCAGTCGAACGCAACTGTTCACAGCAAAACAGTAAATGCTATAAACTGTGAAGATCGAGACGTCGAGATTGAACAGGCCTTCACTAACAAGGTACTAGTCCTGAATTTAAATTGATTTTGTTACAGTCTCGTTCTAATTCTAAAGGATTGGGGAAGGAGATGTTCAGTTCTTCGCTGTAAATTGCGCATGGCAAATAGCAAATGGTCATTATTGGGCAATGTGCCACAGCTCTGAATACAGGGTTTGTAGGCGGTGTCATATCCGGGAGTGTATGTTAGACAAATAATCCGTGAAGCTTCTTCCTAGGAGGACATCTAATTATAAACCCCTACCAGACCCATAAAAGTTCAAACTTACTTACAATAACTTGTAATTTGATAAGTATTCCTGAGTCTTGACAATAGAATCCCTGTACCTACTTGGCCTTAGGAGTAATTTGTAACTGTTTTGTGACAGTTACCAAAAATGTGTATTTCCAGGCTTACAAACACTTCATTAGTAATCCGGATATTATGAATATTGTGCAGGTTGCAAAATAAACCTCGTTACAATCCAGGTTACCGCAATTACATATATCAATTGTCATATTATGTAATTGCGGTGACCTTGATTTTAAGAGGGTTTATTTTGCACAATATTCAGAGTCATATGATACATCGATGCTTTTCATACAAATATAATTCCTCCCGTATTATATGCTCGACATACCGATCATAATTTACGGAATACTTTCATATTTCTAGATTAATGTTCTATTTATTCAAGACAATTATTTATGCCCAGATGCCCTTCGTACTATTAGAGTATTAGGGGGCTTTCATGTGGCTGCTTCGTAATCATCAGAGGTTATTAAATCTAATAATAATTAAATTCAATTGTTATAACTTAAAAGTTAATAACACGTGCATAATAGTTGATAATGACCAACGTTGAACAAGCCCACTGTCCGCCTACCGTTAAACGGTTTAAGTTTTACCACATGTTGCAACTCGACTCACACCGAAGAGCAAATGAAGGGCGAGTGAAGGGCAAGCGGAGGGCGACACTAATTGGCTGAGTCAACATTGAAGTTAAACTTAAAACCATCTGTGAAACATGTGAGGCTTCTCAGTTCTCAGTATCAGCCAGCCTCCCTCCTCTATCAATTACTCCAGTATAAACTTTAAAACGTTAAAACTCAGGTTGCTGAGGCTATTTCACTTTTGTGGAAGGACTCTGGTATCCAGTTGTGTTACGACAGGAGGCGAGAGTACCAGGTTTATACAAATTAAATTATTATTGTAAATTAAATTATTTTAAATTGGATTTTTATGTAGATTAAATTATAACAGATTCGATTATTTTTACGTTCTCCACCATGATACAAATTATCTCCTTGACAAGTTGCAATTTTCAAATATCTTTTACACATACCTTTGCGATTAAAACTACACAGTATTAAAGTTACGTTTAATACTTTAATTTAAAGAATTAAATGTCATAACCCTTGTACATTTCAGTTAACGGACTCAGCTAAATATTTCTTTGACGCTCTCAACGAAATCGTACAACCTAATTTTGTACCATCAGAACAGGACATTCTAAGGTATCCACCAATCTATTATTCGTAAATGAGTATTGTTAATAAGGTTTATGCTAATGTGAGGAATTTTCCTAAAAATTTCAATAATTAACATACATTCTTCCCTTGTACACGTCTAAACGCTCACAAATGCTAGCTACTAAATCTTTTTAAAAGGATGAAAAGGAAATCCCGCTTAGAAACACAACGTGAGCACAGCGTCACTATATCCTCCTGTATAAACTGGAGTCTATAAGAGTATAAGTAAATAGCGATATTACGCTTGGAAACCAGGATCAAGCCCCCAATTAAAATGAACACCATTTCCTCTTTTCAACGTCTTTAGTGCTGTGATGATTCATAGTAGACGCGATCGTATAATGACCGTCTGGCTGCCAATCAAAATCAAAACGCACGTCCGGCCGGGTATCTCATTGATGGGATTATCGCTATATATACATCTAGCTATACTCAATGAGCAGAGCCGAATGACATTACTATGAAGGTAAGTGATAACAAGACGATGGTTGAATCACCAAGAAAAATAGCAACAAACCGTGGCTGAACGCCGGTTAGCTGCTATTTAATTAATACCCAGTCCCAACATTCGGGCTAATTGCCGACCCTCAGGTCGAGAGTGCCGACAGAAGGGATCAACGAATACGTGTTCCGGTTGGAGCGGGTAGATTTCCGGATAATCGACGTGGGAGGACAGCGGAAGGAGAGGAGGAAGTGGATCCAGTGTTTTGAACACGTGACCAGTATTATCTTCCTCAGTGCTCTGAGCGAGTACGATCTCGTCTTACAGGAGAGCGCCAATCAGGTTAATTGGAATACTTTCGGGGTTTAGTAATCCGGATTAAGAGTAAGCCGCCGAGGGTTCTGTCTACTTCATCAAGTTCTTGAGCTAATTTATCATCTATTAAAACTATGGCTTTGGCTTTCAGCCGAGACTACATACCAATATACTTTGGCTTTCGGTGGCGAGTTCATACCGCTATTATACTGGCATAGTATTAATGAACCAAATTATTTGATTACCAGACATGTGAAATGAACAATTCGTGCAATTACCACAAGGGTTTGATATTGACCAAATGGTTGCATAATCGACTCCAACTTCAATTAATGATCTATTTGGATCTCCAGACATCAGTAGCTTAGTTTCTCTTTTCTTCCCCCAATTATAACTGGCAACACGCAATATGCACATCAACTAGACGTTCATTAGGCTACAAATATTTAAAATCTTGACATTCAGTATGACTTAATATGAAGTCGAGGCTGCATATCATGACAATAAAGCCAGAAGTGCCACTGAATATTTTTTCAGGTTGTCAGTATACTAATAAGGACACATATTTTCAGAACCGAATGGAAGAAAGTCTGCACCTGTTCCGGACGATAATATGTTATCCCTGGTTCCAGAGGGCCAGTGTAATCATCTTCCTCAACAAAACAGATGTCTTTGAAGAGAAGGTAAGATCTCCAGTATATACCGTATAAAAATTAACTTTTCTAACAGTTTACCCGACCCTGCATAACTATCCAGCTATCCCACCTCTGAAGCTTCAGGTTATAATATGCTGTATTTATATCATATATACGAGATATTCATGAGCTCACGCCAACGGAAGCCCGTGAAAAACCTGAAAGAGACGCATATTGTAGAATTCAAGGGTAATACCAGCCCGAGCTCCACGCTCGCAACTCGGTTAAATTCTTGACAGTAACACCCTAATCCCCACTGTGCGGGGAGTCAGGAAGCCAGAGGGAATGACATGCTATATGTGCTCTCTTAAACCTGCTAGTGTACATATTCCGTTGTCAGACTACTCACTCTCTTGAAACCGGGCGTCCGGATAAATAGTTTGACAGCTTGTTGATCTAGCAAATCTTGTTGGATAGCTTGTTGAGAGCTGGAGGATTGGGGGAAGAGAGAGAGCTGTATCTAAGCTTGATCTCAACCCCAGCAGCTGTGCGATGACCGCGTTTACTTGATTTTGCTATTTAAACAGTTAGGTGTTTGAGAGTGTAACCAGCCTGTTAACCTCGTGCTTATTGGGGGCTCGATTATCCCTTATTTGGGGTGACGCTGTTTTAGAGCTTGTACAGAACGGTGGGCATTTGATATTTTAATAGTACGTACAATGTACACTGAATGAATATAATAAACACATATATTATTATGTCATATCAGGGATCTGTAAGTTTTCGTGGGATTAATCGCGTATGTGAGTTTTGTGAGCTTTTTGCTGTTTATTAACATTGAAATTGAATTTGCAAAACTGATTGAAATTAAAATTCAATGTACGTAATAATTAATAATATAATGATCGTTATTCCTCAAGAAGCCTATACTACTACTTATACTACTATAATACTGGATAATAAGATAGGATTGTCATAGAAGGTCCAGTTTAATCATTAGCAGCTCTCGGAGCTCCTGTGTAATTATGAAACCCTCCTTGTTCTAGCGGGAAATTTTGCAAAAAAAGGGAGGTTTAACAACGCGGGGTGTCAGTAAATTTGAAGCAGCTGTCATTATTGAATCTCAATGTTAAGTAGACCTCAGTACCTCGAGTAGACTGCCAGAATTCCAGATTTCATCGAATCACACTCACACGTAACCACTAGCTTGCTCACTCGTACATACACCGTGCTCACTTGTTCCTACATCAGTGCAATGAGCACAGCTAACATAAACAATCGGACGGTGAGAGTTGAGACGGGCGGTACTTTGACGCCGAGACACCAGAGAGGTGCAAACTGTGTTAATAACTGCAAAGTGCATGTGCAGGATAAAAATAGTGCACAGAACGAAACATCTATGGATTCAATCATAGGAAGGATGGTACCGGATACACCGCGGGTGTCACCCTTGAGAAGAGCCAAAAAGTCTTGTTCCTGGATACGGGTACATTCGCCCTTGCTTATCTTAGTTTGGTGACCTTCTAGGAACTTAGAACGGTGATAGGCTGATAAAAGCCAACAATTTGCCAGCCCTTAATAATGTCATTGTTTAGAAATACCTCCATTTTTATTTCCCTCGGGAATGGAACGCTACATTTTTGACGATGATGCAAAACATATCTTGGAGCCTAAAGCGTGCTGAATTTTCTAGTAAATATACAACCGAGTTGAAGCTTTGGTGGCCTGAACGAATCATGAATTATTATCAACTAACTTGCCAAGTGATACGTGATCTAATCTAATAACTGTTACTCGTGCCTAAAAGCGGCAGCAATACAACCCAACGATATCATGTTTGATAACTGAACTGTGGCCCCGGCTTCTCAGGTTCGTGTTTACTTCCAGGCGCAAGAGGACTCTCACTTCAGACGTTCAGGGGTTTATGTGTAGCCGTAGGACACATTGTCTGGTACGGATACGGGTTTGTCAGCTAGACGCGCCCTCTTGTACGAGATTTTATTGATTCTTGCAGTTGCTTACATTATATCTATTCATAAGTAAAGTAATCAATAGTAAACTCGACCACATTATCAAATTTGTGGAAAAGTCAACAAGGTTTGACAGAGACGATCTATTTGGATAAGCACCTAGGACATACACCAAGGCTCATAAACAATCATACATTAGATCCACACAGGACTATCTCAGATAGTGACACATATCCAGTGGACCATGCTCGGAAGTCCCTCGCCTGCCCGCCGAAGAAGAACATCTGAAGTGGGTTTGCTCTGAGCAAGGTAGTAACAGCTTCGAGACTCCAGAGGTCTGTTGCGTTGATATCTATTATTCTATGCTTTTGTATATACTTAGGGAGTCCTGGAGTGTGGCTAGCAGGAGTCACACTCTGTGGGCACGGCGAGAAGGCCTCCCTCTTCACTAGGAGGCCAGAAACCGTTGACCAAACCAGAGAGAGAGAGAAGTAAAGTAATCATGATCTAATTTATCAAGCTAAAGTTGTAATAAAAGGGATGGTTATTATAGGGATGGTCATTAAATATAGTGAATAGTGATTTGCTCGCAGCATATCCAGTCTTCATTATGTTTCATAATCTCCGCATGCGAGGCACGAGTCTCGAGCTATAACCCAGAACCGGGCTTCCATTCCATGCTCTTTATCAGCGAGTTTGAAAGGTCATCACAGAGTCAAAGTGGGAAATCATTAACAGTATCACATAAAGAAATTACAAACGTCTAGATTTCGTTATAGGAAGCAGTTTCTGTAAAAATTCACTCCACTTCTGCACACTTTTTCGCTTTGCTGCAAAATATTATTATTTTTTGACCACACTTCTGAACTGCACGTCGTTTTCCACAGGGAGTGGATTATGGGTTTTAACATTTGAGCTCCTTTTTTATGGCTTTACGATTGCTGTTGAGTGTTTGTTACGCGATTGCGTCGTCTTTTAGTCTTTCGGCACACTAACTTATTAACTTACTCTTCAGTTCAGAGCTTGCGCTTAATATCCGAAATCGAGGATTCTGTATCATTAAATTTGTCAGCCGTGTGCTGACTTTCCATGGTTATTATTACCAATCGATAGCCTGTAAATTGATAGTTTGATCTCAGTATTTACAACAATTCATCTAGCTTAATTGATTCAAAGGGACAAAAATTCCTCTATTGCCAATGGATACTGGTCGTAACTTCGTAAATCTTTGCAATATGTCGTTATCAGCTGTGTGTAATTGGTTAGAGTGTCTGGTACTTGCAGGCAGGTATTGATTAGAGTGGTAGGTGTTTAATACGTTATAGACTTCTAAGAAAGACTCCTAAGAGTAAGAAAACTCCTAGACTTCCTAAGAGTAAGTTGAGTGCTTTTTCGAGTTCATTCGCTGCATAAATTCATTAAACATGCAAAATCATGGGTTGGGTGCTAAGTACATACAAGAGGGTGTGGGTTTCTTGAGTAGTTCTCAAGGATCATGTGGTTGCAGGGTACTGTTAATCGCTCTAATTTCGGTGCCTGTGCACGTTTGGGGCTATTTCGGGAAACACTCGTGATACACCATGCTGGATGTATCGGGAGAGGCTGTTAGAATCGGGGTTTTCTTTTAACACCACACTGCCTGTCCAACTGCAACTTGTCTATCTGTTTAAGTTTAAACTTGTGATCGCTTACCACCATCCTGCTATTGAGAATTGAAGCTGTTTGTAGTTTTCTTTTGTTGTATATTAATTGTTAGTCGTTATAGTGCGACTAAATCCCTTTGAACACAAACAAGCAAACGGTGTGAAATTTTTCAGTAGTAATGTGATATTATGAACATTCATCTATGTGGTATGTTAAACTGCAGATGACATTTTATGCGACATGCCACGCCTTCGCCATACTTTCATTAGCGTAATTGATAAAATTGAGAAAATCGATACCATCCAGACTATTCATCAGCTAACATGCTATCCTTGATTTGCAGAAAGAATTTTAACTACGTCACCGCCATTTCCAATATATGACCATAGGTTTGAGTCGATGTTAATAAAGATTAAAGAAGTATATATACATTCCCACACGCACATTGCATGTACGATCATCAAGTGTTCCACAAAGGTTCCTAAACGTTTTTAAATTCTTGAGCAGGTGAAATCAGTTGTACGACAGTAACGTTCTCTTTCGAGCTGATGCTACATCCAATATGTCATGGATTATTCGTGTTTTCCTTGTGAAATTTCCTTATTTGTCATATGTTCCCCGGTAGATTTTAACTTCTTATCGAACAATTTGCACCATTCCTGTATGACCTTATTGGATTAGTAATCCAACATTCCACATGTTGAGAAATTTTGAATCGCGGTGAGTATGATAACCAAACCCAATCATGATGTAGCCTCAATTGCCATACGTCATCTAATGTTCATATGAAAGGAACTAGAGTATCGAAGTGCTAAGTTCCAGTTTTTACAACAGACATAATGATCCCAGTTATTAAATCTCAATCTAAACATAACTTTCAGAGATTGATTTAAAAACATATCAGTAGGGTTGATCAAATCTTCAAATGAACTGAGCTGACACAATCGAGGTAGCACCTCTAATTCCGCGTCAACGTTACTGTCACTTACCACGTGTATAGACTCACCGGAGCCGTGCTGTAATGAAATTTAAGTTTCACTTCACAACTTAGTAGTTTTAAGCTGCACATACGGGCATTGTTATCTGGAGAACAGAAAAATTTCCCTCAGAGAAGGCTGTATACAAATGGACTTACTGCCTTTTCTCATGGAAGGTTTTGGGATAACGTGCTAAATTTTCAAGTTTTGTGTGACTTACTTCCTTTCGTGACAGCTAAAATAGTATTTTTATAACGTGATTCACAGCTTAATTTGTAGAGAATCTTCTCCTGAAAATTTTGGTACCAATTTATCTCACAATTTCGAAAAATGGACTTACGTACTAACTTCTCTCAGGGAACTTCCATTGGTAGATATCGCGCGTCAAATTTTGGGGTTTACCTGTAATTCTATTGTAAATGAAAACTTCAAATTTTACAGTTTACGACATGGAACCTTGTAACTTTGCAACAGTATTTGTCAATGTCAAGGTATAATACCTTGCGCGATATCTACAAATGGAAATTTTTTTTTGGTGGGAACACAAGAATTCGAAAATTTAGATCGAGCTCTATAACAACATATCTCAAAATCTCAAAATTGACCTCGGACCGTCAATTCAATCAGTATGTCAGGCGCCTCACACCGTGCTATATAACAATAGTCTAATTAGGGAACAGTGAAAAAGTAACCAAAGAGGAACTGTGTCGACAGCTGCCATCATATAATAACATTTAATAAGAACTTTGACAGTTCAACTGCAAAGCTGCAGTTCATTAATACAGATTAATGTTAAGCTGCTGAAACAAAGCCGCCCTTATATCCCCATATAATAAGTGAACCCGTACAAATTCTCCTTCACGCCAATTATCTTCCAGTTATAAGCGGTCTCCGGTATTGACACACTTATTATATCACACTTATATCAACTACTGTAAGGAAACAATGATCGTGAAAGAGATATGGGAGAACTTACATGGTCCCTGGGTTTTGCGATAAAATGCAATCAGAGCTAGGAGTGATAAGGTCATTATCGCCACCTTCTGGCGGGGGGCTTTCCCTTTCTCTCTCCTTGCGTCAGAGGCTGGGCTGATGACATAATATGACATGGCATGTAATCAAATATTATAGCACTCCTTTACTTAGTCTTTAAAAGGTTTGCTAAGTTGCTGAAACTCAATCGATACAGTGTAGAGCTTAGTCAAGGCGTAACTTGGTATAGGTGTTATAGTTTGAGATTATTTTTTATTTTTAATCTTCTTGTTGGCAGTTGATGTGTAGTTAGCGATATACCTATCTCCTGAGACCAGTAATTCGGTTAACCCCTTCAAATAAGAATAGCTGTGATATTCGAAGCTGTATTATCATCAGTACGTGTTTCTATATGTTGAGTTAAACTGCGGTGTTGAAATTTTATCTAATTATGAAGGCTCAAATTCATACGTACATAATATTTTTATTTTATATGCAGTCTGTCTGGTTCTTTTTATTTTTGTTGTTGCTTTGTTTAACACGCCGCTTGTATTAACTAATTATTGCTTCGGATTTCTAATAAATATAAGATATTCTTTATTTCATATTTTATTTACTCACCATCATTAGGTATTATGCAGTAAGAATGTTGTCTGGCCTTCGTTGTTATTTGCCATTATCTAGGGTCATGTTTCTCGACCAATATTTTTGAACCATATTGTCCATTTTTATTTTCACTTTCCATTGTTTTACAATTTAAACAGAAATGGATTGGAGCCAAAAATATTATTATGTTCAATTTTCATTCAGATACAATTAGATATTTAATCAATCGGTCATTAAGATACGCCCATTGAACCCATTAGTCTCCTTTAACAATAAACGTGCGATGCGCGGGACTCAATTTATACCAAAAACCATCACTTGTGTCTATTCAAGTATTCAGAGGCAATTAAACTTAATCAATCGGTCATCAAATCGAGCTTTAAAAACTCATGATCACTTCTCTCAGGCTATGTTCACGATGTATCGCCTATTAGCACTTGCTGCGCTGGCAGCAGCCGTTCTGTCAGCTGAGATTGACCCCTCCCTCACTGAGTGGAAGAAAATCGACCGAGGTGTAGAAATAGTGAAATTTCCTTTGAACAAATACACTCTGCAGATTAAGTCGTTCAGGTCGAATGTGCCAGAGCACGGTGGAGACCCTATTTATGCTAACAACACCGTAGTCGACAAGTCAACGTCCATGCTTGTCCACTACATGGTTGACGGTAGAAGGATAGGTCAGTTTGTCTGGAACACCATACCCTACGTAGCAGGAACCGATGTGATCCTGTTCGGATGTCAAGCTCCCTACTCCCGTTACCGGTCCGAGCCTTGTAATGGAGAATTTGAGCAGATCTGGTCCTGGAATTTCTCAAAAGGAGGAGCCGTCCTGACTTGCTTCGACACGGTACAGTATGAGGTTGACTTCGCTCGTGCCAGGAATCCATCTTGCAAGAACATGGGTAGTCTGAATATAGAAAAGCTGAGGTTCACCAACATGGCAGGTTTCTACTACAGGGCAGCTCCCCAACCTGAAGAGCAGGAACCACCAACAGACGGGCCAGAGGATTTACGAATAACGTCACCCGAGCCCACAACGGCGACAACACTCCCACCAACCACCACCCCCATGCCTGTCGGAGACATCAACCCTACCTGCAACTGCTGGACCAGGGAATGTGGGTACTGCTCTAAGCTGGAGTGTGCTGTAAAGTACGATCTCACCAATGCTGACACTGGCATCACCGTCAACTCTGTGCTGAACAGGAAGGACTTCAACTACATCAAGCTCTACAACGGTGAAGGTAAGAATATTGGGTACTTCAAGTGGAACCTCAAAGCGATTTTCCTGGAGGGATGCATATTCTGCAGATCTCCACGAATGAAGAGTATTCTAAAGGGTGACTACAACGAGTGGAACTTTTCTATGAAGGGCGGAGTGATCAGGCTCTCAGTGGGAGGAGAGTCATTCTACGAGAGAAAGCTGGGAAGGGGCTGCAGAACCCATTACGAAGATGTCCAATATTTCTCGTTCCAACGGATGTCATGTGACAGCTCCTTTTTGGTGGGCGACGGTATGGAACGTGGAAGTTTAATGGATAGGACCTGCAACGGACAGTGTGATGCTTGAGGAGATGTTGAAGACTCTTTAGCTTTTTAGGTTTTAAATTTAAACTGTCTAGCTGAAATTGAAATTGAATTTTTGTCGTGAATTTATTGACCTTTTGAGGTTTATTAGCCTGTATTTGAAGAATTAAGATAAAGGATTCAAAGCCGGTGTCGAAATGAGCTGAAAATTGGCCATGCAGCGGATGAATTTCGTTCACTGAATTATTGCGTTACTTTGTTAAGATTTTCTAGGTAACTTAAACATTTCTTCGGTTTGAAATCTCGAAAAAAATCAGGTATGCACTGTATTATACATGGCAAACATCTTAGACCATTTTCAGACTCTAGGCTGCCGAATGATATGAAATCGTTAATTGTGACGAACTGAGAATTTTGATGTTGTACTTTTATTAAACTGTCTGTTTGACGTCTGATAGACTTATGAACTTAAATGAGAACAGTTCTTCTGATAATCGATAGTATGTTATTCAATTTAAATCCTATAATATTATATTTTGAGTGAATTGTATTTATATATTTCATTTGTATTGTCTTATACCTGTTTATAACATGATCACAGGGGACTTTTATTTTTTTTATTGATAGCATTTTAAAATAGGCGTTCATTGTCTGGAAGGTGAATGGAGGGGCGGATATCAGGAACTAATGTTGGTTTCTATGGAAGCGTGCTTATTTTACGACTTCAAAAATTTCCTAGTAGAATATCATCTCATACGGACGATCACATCAAATTGAATTTTCCCCGGAATTTTCATTAGGACTAATTAAAAATTGGCTAGACAAACATGTTTTCCTTGTGTCCTCTTACTACACTACCATGCAATGACTTACGAGTCATCGTTTAGGGGGGTCGTACGAGTGCACTCTTTTTAGATTTTTTGCAATAAAGATTGAATTAGACGTACAACTACAAGTCAGGGCTGGATTGCAGGAACGTTTCTGCTGGAGTTTACACCCAAATACCGAGATATCATACGTTTAGTATGCTGGGTGTAGACTCAGTAGAATGTGTAACGGTATATCCGACACACTCCTGCAGGGATATCGAGTGCTTTATGCAATGACCTTCTAGCTACCATGATATGTGCCATTTCTAATCAAGGGAGACTCAGGACTTCGGATGATGTTGAGATCACGATGGTTCACTTTTGCAACACTATGATTCAATACCCAATCATCGATAAAAACAATCATTAAACATTTTAGGAATATTTTTGGGGCATGATTTAATATTAGAAAAAACTTGTATTCCAAGCTGCTGCCAAGTTACCGGCATTCTTTCTCCTTTACATGATCATATTCTCATAGATGGTGAGATGATATAATAACTATAAATATCATAAACTTTGCAAGAAATATTTGTAAAGGAGTATTATTTGAATTATAGTTCTACTTCTGGTAGTTAATAATTCTTTTCATACAAAGTTACAACAAAGTCTTCATGTTATGTATCCTGAGTTTGGACACGATATTACCCGCTTAAAATATTTTCATCGCGTTACACAATACTCAATAATGTAATAGATTTATAGTGTTGTAATCAGTTTAAAACTATAATTTTTCGTGTACATAAATTTTACAATATTACTCATTCGTACCTGTGTTGAGCGTTAGCTGATACGAAATTGATATAAAATTGACTGGTTAGTAATGATGGTATGCAGCCACATGGTCGCCCCAAAATAAACGTATGGAGAATCTTAAGATTGATGGTAATCATGATTCATGTAGACATGAAAACGACATATCTTGAGGTATTATTGAAAAAATTACAGAGCGATCAGCGATGAAGCACTTATCTTTCTAATTTCATACCGTTAGAAAATGTTAATTGGATGTTACCTAATCTGTTTCCTGAAAAGATGTGGCCGCTGGCCATTTTTTATCAGATAAGGTTAAATGTTGAATGAATGAACGCGAAGGTTTCTTCGAGACCATCAACGGGATTTTTAACCAATCTAATAAACCAATTGACTTCGTCAGATTGTGATTAAATTCCCCAGAAAATAACAGACTACTTTCCGACCAGGAATTAAACAAAAACCCCGAAAATGGTTCCTGAGTTTTTGGGCGGTACTAATACTATTCGACTGCAAAATACTGAATATTGAAAGCTGTTATTCAATCGTATTCCATTTTGTCAGATTCGATTCTCTCGGATAACAGACTATTTCCCCCAATATACCGGAGACATATACAGCGCAATGGAAGCTAGAGACTTCGTCCTGCAGGTTTGATTTTTGTGTCACTATAGTTATACTATTTTATCTTTACAGATTCCAGTTTTGATTTAATATCTCATCATGTGCCTTGGAAAAAGGCAACAACTGAAAAATATTTAGATGATTTTATTCTGGATGGAATTTTCGTAAAAAGGTGTTAACATTCTGGCTCGTAAATTTATAAATTCCGAGAACAGCTTGTCGGCGTCATGTGTGAAGGAGTGAAAACCCATAAAGTTTCTTTAACTTACTTTAACTTACTTTAATAGCACAGACCGTCCAGAAATCCAGTAATTCCAGATAAATAAGCTTATATTTATGGTAGACGCAAAGGACACTCCTTGACCTGTATGCAGACAAACAAACTTCTAAAGAGCTAACAGACTCTTTACAAATTACGAATTTTGATTTCTCATAAATCGTCACGTTAATAAAAACTATAGCTTTCCGGTTGAGTGATTATAAAGTCAGATAAGTGCTCTAATTTTACATTATAATAAAAAGAAAGTGCAAGTACGTGTCAACTCGTGATGCTTGGATCAACCCAGATACTGCAAGAATTCCAATTTACTCAGGCTTTAATGTGCCATTGCACATTGACCAACAATGCACAACTGAATATTTAACTAAATATTAAGTTATTTCCTACCCCAAAATTCGCGGATCTTACCGTACACGGTTAAGGTATTCTAAAACCATTCATTCCTTTCAGATGTTCAGAGATAACTCAGCAGACACAACTTCAGAAGACCAAACACCAAAGCCTATATATTCCCACTTTACATGCGCGACTGATACCCAGAATATTAAATTTGTTTTTAACTGTGTGCGCGACCACATTTTACACACTCACCTTAAAGAGTTCAATTTAGTGTGATGAACGTTTTATTAGAAAGAAAACAAGAGCAGCAGAACGAAAAATAAACCCAATGAAGAAGTTTTACCGTGTTTATCTGTGAATTTTCAAGCTGATGTGATGCCCCCTAGTTAATGTTTTCATTTTTACCTGGGTATTGGCAGGCATCGCAGAGCGGGAGTTCAGGGTCAGGTTGGTGAGCAAGCGTTGTCGTTAGAGCTGGAATACCACCATCGGGGATACAGAGGAGCAAAATAGTGCTCCAATTACATGATATTATTGATTTGAGAATTGTCTTTTGTTGATGTCATTTGTGGAATCTTATAATGTTGCATCGATCCTGGGAATCATCAAATTATATGAAAAAGTTACAGACATTATCGGTAAATGATGAATGGTGATTGAATCAATACACGTCTCGCTGCTTGTAGTTGTACAAACTTTATGAATCTATTTTTAGATTTTAAGACGGACAGGGTCCTAAATTTGATTTGATAAATTGGATCGGGTCACAACTCTAAAACTTTAACATTAATCTGTAATACCACACTTATGATAGCAATAAGGAGGACATGCTCAGAGTTTGAAAGCAGGAAAAATTGCACAAAGATGTAATCCTCTCACAAACTTTGAGGCGTCAATAATCGGTATACGTGACTATTGTATTTCAGCGGTACAGTAAAAGAGTAAAACCCCAAATTATACACATTTTTGCCCTTTACATGAAACATGCTGAATTATAATGTTCCCTGTTACAAAGGTATAAATTGTTTTACCCCTAAGTCCATAATAAATAATAATGTTGATCTCTTTTCAATCAAATTAAATCAATCGAAAAATTGGTTGCAATCCTGATAGATATTAGTATTAAATTGAAATATCTTGAACCCGGTTTAACTTAATGATAAATGAAAACATGCGGCTGTCTCATTAATAAGTCGTACTGAATGACCAACCAACTTGAACTACGAAACGGAATTTTTATGTCTAGGTGAATTAATATTTATTACATTTTGTCAATAGCAAAGGATATAATAATATTATATGAGTACACAATGCGTGACTGAAAAATCAATAAATGTTTTTAGTGTTGCATTTATTATTCTTGTTATTAGACTACCGCTGACTTTAATAGTGAAGACAGATTCGTTTTATGCATTTCGTAGGCTATGACAGTCACGTAGTTTAACTTAATTATTTCCAACAATCTATGTTCTAAACCATTATATAATGCGGAAAGATGTTAGTTTCATTGCTTTTAAAAGCGGTCTGATCAAGCGTCAAATATTCTATATTAGATCCAAAGAAAACTTAATCATAATATGTTAATTATAATTATATCTTGATAGTATGACAAGTTTGTTCTTGATCGGCCACAACCCGATTAAAAATAAAACATAAAAAGATACACCAAAATTTTTTATGAGTAGCTCCTGGGACTAAATAAACCGGACTGCACTGAAAATTCTGATAGATTCCAATATTTTGAATCTAAGAAATTCAGCATGGATTTCTCATTTTCTCAAAAATTGTCCACTCAAAAATAGTGATATACCAAATCATTCTTCATATCATTGCAATGTGGTCCAAAAATACTCAAAATCAAGTCCAAAATCAAATGAGTTATGTCCAATTGAACTATAGGGTAAGACTGGATCTGGAGGAGTAATTTTAGGGCCTACGGTAATTTGTCGAGCTGAACATCAAGCACCCTTTTAACACCCTTATTACACTATCGTATTTGATAGCAACTAAGTATATAAATAATGACAAAGAATTCAAAAAAATTGTAAAACAAATGCAGTACAATAACAATGATTATGCCTACAAAACTAAAATCGTAAACTATTAACTTATTAATAAAAAAAGAAAAGAAATTCCCTGGGTAAAGAACGAAAGTAAAAGTCTCAATATGACAAACAATATAAATATTACTTATAGATGTGGATTCTAGTGGGGAGGTGAGGCATATTTTGTTGGCACGTGACAGCAACTTCCTTATCAAACCACCAGAATCCATATCTATTTACCTAGGGACCTCAGGCTTATTGGCTTAAGCTTGATAAACGATCCAAGTGATGGCGGAGTGACAGGCAGAGCGCCGCCCAGTAATCATCTCTAAGTTTAACAAAAAGCGCTAAACTAATGTATATAACACTCAGTAACACTCAATGACAAATGATTTACAGCTCCTGTTTGAGCTGATCCTTCAACAGCTCCTTTTTCTCCTTCTTCTGATCTTCTCTTACAGCTCCTCTTTCATTTCTTCAGGCTGAAATGCGTGATCAAGAGGAGCAGGTTTGTTCTGGTAGCTGCTCTTCAGGTAGGTCAACACACTGTGTAAGTCCTTCTCAGAGTGGCCTGGGAACAGTTTAGTTGAATAAAAAGGAAGGTTAAATTTATAAGTTGAAGTCTTCTCAAAAAGCAAGTAGTTTGAGCAAAATTTAGTGAAACTATAAATTTAATTTCTTGATCTTGTCAAAATCATATATATATTTCATATGAGCAAACTTAATCTGAGCAACCACATATTAGCCGCGTGGAATTGACGTTAAGTTTAATATTTCTTTTCGTACCATACAAGGCGGGTTTAGTCAGGGCCTTTCGTGATATGATGGATCAAGTTATAGTTCCACCAGGATCTAGTAGTACGTACTACGTATGATTATGCGGCCTGTAATTGTATGTATCGTAATTTCGGACAACTACTTGCCGAATAATATTAATAAGTGCTAGGCCTGTGAAAATGTTCTGTTTTTCGGGTGACCGACAACTGAACCCAATTGAACCTAGTTCCCACGCAGTTAACAGGCACCCAATCAGCTTAATTGGGTGACCAATCAGCTTAAATCCCAAAACGACAACTGAAACCACTACAAGGTCATATCACAACTGCACCTAAATTGGAAATACGACAACTGAACTGCGAGGAACAGACGAGAGGGAAAGTTTAAAGCCTTGATTTGACGTTTAATGTTTGACTCGCCAAAACCAATTAACATTTAGCCATAGGAGTCTGTAGGAGTCAAATTAATCATGTGCTAATTAATGTGCTAATTAATGTGCTAATTAATGTGCTAATTAATATGCTAATTAATGTGCTAATTAATGTGCTAATTAATTTGCTAATTAATGTGCTAATTAATGAGCCAATTAATGTGCTAATTAATGTGCTAATTAATGTGCTAATTAATGTGCTCCAGCTGTAGGAGGTCGATTTGTACCGAATTTTGCAGGTGCAGTCTAGCTGCAGATTTAGTTGAGGTTGCTTGTATTTATACTTGTAAGGATTTATTTGAACTGGTACGCACGGAGGAATTAATATTTTAGGGTCCGAGTTTTACAAGATTCAAGATTATGTATTCAATTTTGAATATTATTGCGTAATAGTTTCGATTAAAAAAGTTTAGTTACCGCTAAGTTTAAGTTCGTCTCCAGATGGATTTCTCAGCTTGGTTGTGATGGTGAACTCAACCTTGTCGTGATAGTTACCTGCGATGTTTTGTGTTAATTTTACCTGCAAATCTGAAGGCTGAGATAAAATTTTAAAAACATTTTTATAATTCTAAAACATGATCTTCAACAGATTTTAGTTTTTTAGTGTACCCTGAAAAGCTGAAATACCCTAAAATACTTAAAATAATATCATGAATCATACCCTGAGCAAGGACAAGCAGGTAGACAGGTCCGTACTCTGCTTTAGGGATGGTTGGAATAACTGCGTTCACTTTAGCACCGGAGGAGTCGTAGAACATCGTACCACGGTTTGTGACCTGAAATTGGTCACCTTCAGTCTGCATTCCAAACAATGCTCTGAACATATTATCAAGTATCCAGTTGATAGTCTCAATCAATCTAAAAATTGAATCAAGCCAATCACTCCTCACCACAGCTCTGTAGCATATATCATTGTTCATCATGGTGTCAGTGCAGAGGAAGGACGCAACACCACCTGGAGCCTCCTGTACTGTTTCAGGGACCAGGGTGGTCAGGGACAGGGATCTCTGGTCGTAGGTGTCCTCGAAACAGAAGGGGATCTTGTACTGACCGGTGTCTCCTGGTGATTAGGTTTTAAAGTTGGGAGTTATAGTAAACTAAAGGTTAATTTGGACCTTTGAGCTTTTAAACATGTACAGCTTTAGTTCAATTAAGTTAAAGGCTGCATTAACAAAGTCTACTTCTCTTCTTTCGTTGCAACAAATGCAGCGCCCCTAGTACTATTCTATATAAGGAGTTAGCTAACCTGAGGTAAGTTGGGCGGTGAGGGGGATAGCAACCTGTTCCAGGGTCTGAATACCACACCCTCTAGTAGCAGCGCTCTCCGAGACTATCTCCGCACTGAAAAGGGAATCAGTTGTACAATTGCCAAGAAGAGCAGTTCATTATATCAACAAAATGAACAAAACATCTTCAGGTTTTGAAATTTTTCAAAGTTTGCAAAACGTCGTCACTCGTCAATACTGATTGAAAAAGACAAATTATGATAATTAATTAGTCTTGTTGTTAATTAGTAACTACGGTAATTAGTCTTGTATTTAATCAGTAATTACCTGTCCATGCCGTCGGGGATGTTAAGATTAAACTGAGCCTCGTTGGCTGCCAGTTCCAAACCGTATTGGAAGGTCGGGGTCCCATGACTTGCTGTTATCTGTATGTATATGTCGTCCGAACCCCCTGTCATATATAATTCTTATTGTAAAGTTGTAATATGATGGTATTATGGTTTTATACTTGTTATTTTAGATGTACAATGTTTGTATAGCACACACCTGTCTGATATAAAACAGGTGCCTCTAACTAGTGTGTCCATTGAATTGTAAAATTGTCAAAAACCAAAATTCATCTATGAATATGATCCGTTACCAAATTGCTAATGGCATTATGTCTTATATGACCTGATATATAAAATGACATCTTAGTTCCGCGTCTGTTTTATCTAGAAATCAAAAGCGGGCTTGTCGATTACAGAAAAGTGTCTGCTCACTGCTCAGCATAAAGAAATTTGATACTGATAATTTTGTGCAAATTTCCTGTATGGCAAAATAATTTGTTATAAAAAGTAAACAATGACTATTTAAAGCTGTTGAAATTCTTAAAAACTAGTTTTGTCCGAAATCTTTCAAATTACCTTAGAATGTTATTTTGTTGATGTGTCGTAATCTTGGACTCGAATTGATAATAAATCAACAATGAAAACACTGGCCTCTAAAGTGAACATAATTTGAGCATCATATGTATTACTGTAAAATTGATCGCTCCCCGATCTAGCGTAGTGGAATTCCCGCCAAACTCGCGAAAAAACAGGGATTTTATTACTGTACTACAAATCAGCTACGATATTATAAAACTGTCACATGTTACATGTTACGTGGTATGTTACAGGTTGGCTTACATGTTGCACTGTTGTAAGTGAACGGAGAAGTATCAGGTTTCGGGTCAAAACCGGCTTTTTTAGCTTCCTGTGCGTTATCTCGGACGATCTTTGTAAAGTTGGGCCTGAGAAGGAAGCATGTTGGTATTCTTGTTTATCAATCGGTATCAAGTTTCATTCTTACGGAATATCGTACTTGAATATAAACAGCATAAACTTGATTAATACACACAGGGACATACTTGCATACTACTCAAATGATGAGTAGAACGCTAGAAGAATGCAGGTATACCACGTATGCCAGATGTATGGATGAAATCCGCACACAACTTTTATACAACTCACCCATTAGAGACTTGGATATGGAGCCAGTTGGCATCTCCTATCTCTGCAGAATCCCAAGGTTCGTTCATCATGTACACCTTCGCTTTGAAGGACCAGCCGTTCAGCAGTCCCCCTTTGCAGAGTGGAGCCCTGTAAATATTAATAACTGTAAGTTATTAAAATTGATAAAGTATAAGTTAAGTAATAATTTACGTTAAGTGATATAGGTTATATAAATTATAATAAGTTAGTGCTAAGTTATAAATTAAGTTTTTTAAAGAAGGCTTTTGTTAGTTTCTTGTTCACAGTACCTGCATGATGAAGCTCACTGAAAAATGTTGACAGTAAAAGTGGAAAAAGAGATAAATGTTAAATGTTTTGCTGGATAATTAAATTTAACCAAAACCCACAATCATGGGTAGACTGCTGCCAGTGTCTCTCTTTGCCAAACAAAAGACAATGATATCAATTTGAATGACCGTAATCAAATGCAAAATGATACCGAGAATGAAATCGGTCGCTCGCTTTTCCCATTCATTCACGGCTTACGAATTGTAACAAGTTTCGATTTATAACATGTAGTCTGCAAATACAATTGGGTTTTGGTCAAATATGGAATATGATGTTGTAAAGTTACTTTAAAGTTAGCACAATGAGAGAGATGTTGCAGAGAAACGAGGGGCTTTTATTTTTTTTAAAAATCTCAACACTTATTTTACTTCGGACATTCCAACAGCCACATTGTTACACAAGTGTGTAACCAGCCAATTACAGGAAGCCGAAGGATTCAATTATACATTAGGCCAGTGACGGTTAAGGTAGTGTGTACCATACTTTCTTCGCCCGAGACTTTGCTGCAATGGGCAGCTCCTCATTTAACCCTCACACCCGATTTCTCGAGTATTTGGCTGAGTGGACCGGGGGGCTGCATAGACCACTCAGGATCCTTAGCTGAGCGTCGACGACGCTCACCCCACGGCTAGTGACAGAGTCGGGAATCGAACCTGGTACCTCAAGCAATACCAGGCGGATTAACCAACTGAGCCACTAAGCCGTTTAACTCGTACTCCGTTTTATAGATCTATATTCTATATTATAGCGTACTCTAAGCTGTATATTGACCACATTTGATATAAATATAATTTTGTTAGATTTCCTCGCTTGTAATCGACTATCGCTGCTAAACCGAAACGGTAATACACTGTGAGACATTTTTGGGGAATATACCTCTGTCAACTGTAGTTGACTATAATATGGCAGTCACACCTAAATTGTTGGAATTAGTGCTGTCATGCCAAGTGCAGAATCTTAACAAATTCTCTGACCACAAGCCGTGCATCTGCAAAACAAAGCACAAACACAACTTGGTTGACGCAGCTGATCAACTTGAAACACTAGAAGACGCACCTAAAAAATACAAATTGGATTAATAAATGACTCAATGAGGACGAGAAACTTTAATTTCAGTTTCATGCGATCCAGGATTCGCCAGAATTTTTCAGAAAGTATCCCGAATCGCGGAAACCCAGTGCACAGACAAAAAACAAATTTTGTGTCCTAAAGTTAATGAAGAACTGATCGTATCTATCTTCCAAGACATTGCCGATGTAATTCTTCCGACAAAAGGTCCGAGGAACAAGCCAGATAGGAAAATAGCGGGCGGAAAAAGAAAAAGGAGACAAAGGATAAAGCTCAAAGCTCCGTGGTTTGATGTCAGTAGCATAAATTTTGCATAAATGGCAAGCGGGAGTTGAACAGACTGTCCAAAAGTTACGGCAAAAATCCTACGAATCAAAAACTCAGAGACTCTTACTATGATCAAAGTTGACGATCATAACAGAAACTTATAAAACCATATCTCTGAACTTAAATTAGATAATGGGTTTTACCCATTTTTACCTGCATGGCATAGAGTTAAAATTCTCCCCTACTTCTAGCGAGTAATCAGTGAAAAACTGCAGCTCCCCTGCTGGCTTAAAAGGGTCAATATTGCTAAACTCCGATGTAGCAGTCACGATCTTAGGATAGAAAAAGGTCGCTACAACAAAGATCAACTCAACACAGCTCTTAAAACGTGTCGCTTCTGCTGCTCCTCAGAAACGGATGTCATACGTTTTTTAGAAGAGCTCCCTACCCCTTCTTTGAAACTCCTATTCTAGAAACCGAAGACCACGTCTTAACTGAGTGCCCCTACTACCATCAACTCAGGTCCAACCTCTCTGACAACCTCAAAAGCCTGTTGATACTAAAAGAATATGGAGCCATAATGAACTTGTTATACCTTCTGTATAACAAGTTTAAACTTCTTCTTTCAACGTTTTGGTAGAGAGGATTTGTTATACTTTCTGTATAACAAGTTTTAACTTCTTAACTTTAAGCTTAACCACGCTCTCCCACAGTTCAACTGATTAACAGAAGATCACTTTAACAACGAAGTAATACAGCCGTCAACTCAGTGGCTTATTACTAACACAGTCAACGCGTCCACGACTAGGAGCAGGACACATCGCCTGGACACCGGACACCGCTCTTATCCCAGCTTATCTGCACTACAACGTGACGTCACAGCAACATCGCAATACGTGTCTAAGCAGACTTCAGCAAGGAGAGGGCACTTCGATTCTAGCACGGGAGATTTGCCACGGACTTTACTGAGTTACTGAATAGACTCTTTACTCCCATCTTTATCGTCTTGATATTATACTGATTGTCAACGTTACTTTTATTCGTATTTTATCCAACTGTTTTAATTGTTCAACGTTAGACAGGACCTAAAACTAATAGCCTATAAACGGGTCATTTATAATAAGTGGAGCCCGATCCAAAAAAAAAACAACTGATCCAGAGGAGAACAACTAGACATGTCTAAAGAGCAACTTCTTCAACAACTCAAAACCATTATCGACGAAGCAGGTGAGAACGCTACTCTTATTAAACAAGAGGCTGTAGATTTATTAGAATTACAAGCACAGATTACTCAAACTGCAGCCCAAACCAACGGTGGTCAGCCAGGTTTAACAGAGGCACTAGCAAAATTAAAAATTTCACAATCAACGAAAATGCCCAAATTTGTCAAAACAGACAATTTCTCAAGATATTGTGAACGATTCCAAGAATACGTTTACATAGCAAAAATCAACGATCCAAACCTTAACATGTTTTTTCTACAAAATTTGGACGATGAAACTTATTCACAATTAAGAAATGTAGAACTTACCAACGAACAAAAAGCTAATGCTCAACTTTTCTGTCCAATTTACAAGCGAGCAATCTACGCGGACATGTCCATCTCACTCAAAAACGAAGTGATGGAATGTCGTCAAAAAGTTGACGAAAACATTGCGGATTACGCATTTCGTCTCAGAGAAAAAGCAATGATTGCATATTCTAACACGCAAGATGCTGAAGAAAATTGTCTAATAGCATTCCTACGGGGAGTTAAAGATCCTCAAATGAGGAGAAAACTTAATGAAGCATCATCTTTATCAACGTTCAAAAATGCAATAACCCTAGCAAAACGCTTAGAAAAAGTCAACGAAATGCTCAACGAGGAACCGGAGGTAAATTCGATTCTTAAAGAGTCAACTTACTCGTTCAAACCGGAAAGAGAAAAACCTGATTATCCACGAAATGAGTCTTATAATAATCAACGATATAGTAAATCGGAGTCTCCCAATAGAGCCTCAAACTCCGATTATCATCAACGGAGAGACAGATCTTCGTCAAGAGACCACAACAGATCTCGACCCAGAGATAGGGATAGCAATCAAGGAAATCAACGAAGTGACAACTATGACAGATCTCGTAGGAGATCGTCGTCACGTGACTCCAGTAGATATAGGTCTAATACTCCTGGTCGATTCAACGATAGACGAGGTAGATCCAGGACTCCGGAATATAAAAGGTATAATTATCGCAATGATTATAATAACAACGATAATTACAGAAGGAATGACCGTTATGCCTATGGAAACAATTTCCATCGTAACGTAACTTGTTATAGCTGTAAACAACAAGGTCATATTCAACGAAACTGTTCTTATAATACAGTAAATCATTTTGTAAGTCAACGTCCAGCAATGCAACATTGCGAACAGTTCCAACAATATGGAAGGAATCTCCCTCCGTCTAATCCTGATACACAACAACATGTCTCTAGGAGTAATCAGATTCCAACTGACCAATCAACGATACAAAATCATAACGGTTTAAACTAAAAAGGGGCAGAGGCACATATTAGGTGCGGTAAAAAAATCGAAATTATGCGGTACCGCACCCGACTATAAAGGTAAAATATGCGGTAAGGTGCGATACATTTTTACCAATTATGCGGCAAATGTGCGACGATTTTTTCGAAATTTGTGCGGGAATTGCGCGGTTTTCTTTTGCATTTTCTCAAGGACTTTGGAAATTCTAAACGTATAACCGCCGCTCTTATCAAAAATAGGTCTGTTTATGTGTTACTGAGGGTGTAGTTCTTTACTAAGACCATGATTGAACCTATATTGAGATTCAGTTATCTGAGAACAGTGACTTGATCTGGTAGAGATCAGGAGACAGTTATTTGAAGACGCCTCTTGATAGAGTCGATCAGATCCCATGCGTGATCGCAAATATGTGACACGCTTGTTGGCATTAATCGTCAGTACTTGTAAACCATTTGATCCAAGATCCATTAAGCCCACTATGAAGCCAACGCTACAACGAATAGAGCTCATTACCCGATAAAAAGGGCTGCAGGTATGATCGAAGTACGGTAACGACGAGGGTTCCATAACGGCCTGGGTCACGGTCCCGAAAGGGCCTGGGTCACGGTCCCGAAAGGGCCTGGGTAACGGTCCCGAAATGTCCTGGGTCATGGTCCCGAAAGGGCCTGGGTCACGTGGTAACCGGGTCACGTGGCCTAGGCATGAGTTCCAAAAGGGCCTGGGTCACGGTCCCGAAAGGGCCTGGGTCAGGGTCCCGAAAGGGCCTGGGTCACGTGGTAACTGGGTCACGTGGCCTAGGTATGAGTTCCAAAAGGGCCTGGGTCACGGTCCCGAAAGGGCCTGGGTCAGGGTCCCGAAAGGGCCTGGGTCACGGTCCCGAAAGGGCCTGGGTCAGGGTCCCGAAAGGGCCTGGGTCACGTGGTAACTGGGTCACGTGGCCTA